AATGTGTGAATCGAATGACATACTCACGGCACACATTGTTAAATCGGGCGTATGTAAAGAAATAATTCTCCTAATATGAGCCAAGATACCAAAATATAATTTTAAAAAGAGTTGATTTTTTAGCATGTGGCGGTCCAAGGTTATCTAAACTGTGTCAACACCAGTCTTATTGCCCCAACTTCACCGACTTCAGTGTTGAGTGCTTAGCATGAAGTCCACCCCCTAGTTCATAAAGTAATTAGCTGAACCTATGAGCAGAAGGCAGATAAACGTTTGGGTTACCCCGTATTTGTGAAAAGTGTTTTAAGCATCAACATGCCGCTCAACGCTTCTTTTTGAATTCCACAGCATGGTTTTTGCCTCCCCGAGTACAACCCATCGCCTCCTTTTGGGCAGGTGGACTCAAGACAAAGTTGGGGATAGCTGGGTCTGGATGAAGTACGGTATAACTTAATGTCATTGGGGCGTTGTGTTGGCAGTTAAGGCTGACACGAATCACTCCGAAACGTGGCTAGCTACAGGAGCTCTTGTGAAACCATGACTGGCCTAGCAAGCCGAGGGCTGAGGGCTGACAAATTCTGCTATGAACAATATTACCACCAAAAAAACCCATGAAAAAAACAACAACACCACCCTCCCCCCTCCCAAACAAACAAAGGAAATACAGTAAGTTTTTAGACAGACAAAGAATGTCCATCCAACGTTCGTGATACATGTATACAAGTTTGGCACTTCACCAGTATCTTATTATATTCCAACTGAATTTCCATGAATTTAGTATAGGGTATGCACCTAGCCATGTGTCATTATGGTGTTGATATCGCTGAACCTTGTGGCTCAACCATGAGAGTGCTGAACCTATTGTGAGCTCCAGGAATCAGGCACAAAGGGAATAGGTTACTTGAGGGGCTTTAGACTTGTAAAGAAGACCAGGAAGAGGTGACGGGGGTTTTCTTTCCTTTTTTTTGGGGGTTGTTTTTTCCCCTTGTTTTTATGGGGGGGGGGTGTGAAAGAGGTGAATTGAAACGAAACTACATTAACGGAGCTACAATGAATTGGTTACCGCAAAATAAACAAAACCCCACGTGGTGAGAAACAGCGTGGCAAGTTTGACTGAAAAAAGCAACAACCCCCCCCCCAAAAAAAAACCCAACAGAAATACCAAAAACAGAAAAAACAAAAACGCAAAAAACTATCAGCAAAGACAGACTTTTGCTTTGGCGGGAATGTTGACTTGAGACTGTTCTGTCTTTGTCTTTCCCCGGTGTTACAGTTGTGCTATTAATCTTTGAATAAATCAAGACAAATTACAAGCACTACATGTGCAATTCAGCCGTCCTACTACTTTTCAATATCAGACAGATTTTCCCGCTTTGAACTAGGCAGAAGCAAAACTTGCAGTCCATTTCGTTACGTTGAGGCCTCTCGTAATGAAAGAAACGTCAAAATTGATCACAGAAAAGTCAAGAATTTTGTTTGAAAACAGTTACTTATCGTTTCCAAAATGAAATAAAATGTGTTTCTTGAGTAACAGTAGGTCTATTTAACACATTTTACCTAAGCATGGGTTATCGTGCTGTGAGGGGGGAAAATGCGAGTGGATATAACAAAAAACGTGCACTGAACTGTGAATTAACAACTACTTACCTGTGTCTCAAAAAATAATGGCCATCATCATCATCATCATCATCATCATCATCATCATCATCATCATCATCATCATCATCATTATCAGTCATCATCATCATCATCATTATCATCATTATCATTATCAATCATCATCATTATCATCATCATCATCATCATCATCATCATCATCATCATCATCATCATCATCATCATCATCATCATCATCCAGTGCCAGATCTGCGACAGACATCGTCGATCATGGTTCTCCATTCATTCCTTTGTTCAGATGCTCTCACAAAAGCTACATTTCCCTGATATTTCCCTGTTACCCATGTGTTTAGGTTCCCTAAGTATGTTGTTCTGGGCCTACCCCTGCCTTGCTTGCCTTCAATTTTGCCAGTGAGAACTAGATGTTTAAGACCATTTTGGCTATTCAGGTGTCCCAAAAACTGCATTTGTCGTTTCCTAATTGTTTTTAACATTGAAAGTCACGCGTGGGCTTCATCAAGCACTACCTCATTTGATTTCTTTTCCTTCCACAATACCCTTAGCAGTCTCCTAAGAAACCACATTTCTGTTGCTTCTATTTTATTTTCACTGTCTTTATTAATGGCGATCAGAGCATAATATTTAGTTAGTTATAGATCCAGCCTTATAACTTTATTTACATATATAATGTATTTAATATATATAATATATATTGCCACGTACAATGTTTATATGTATATATGTATAAACATGTGTGTGTGTGTATTTGTGTGTGTGTGTGTGTGTGTGTGTGTGTGTGTGTGTGTGTGTGTGTAAATGCGTAAATTATGTATGATCATAGCACAGGTATATATTTTAGGGGATACGAGTTGTCTTAATAGTGGCTCTGCAAATAAAAGAACGGCTCAAATATAATCATGACAGAAACAGTAAACGTGGGTGACTAAGGCACCTTTAATAGCTTCTAGGATTCATGATTTGGAAAGGCATGAGTTTAAGTTAATAGTTTTAAGTTCAAACCACGATGGCATTCGTTGCAACTGGTTTGTACAGTATGCGTGAAACATATCAACAAGGCAAGTTAGCGTCCCTTTAATTTCTAGGTCTTGTTGATACGACACGCAACAACGAATGCATGCTATGCAATTGCTTTTGCGTGATCGTCGACTTAATTCGCTTCAAGCACGGTTTAAAAAAAACAATCACATAATAACAAAATCATGAATCGAATACGTAAGCCGATATCGAGAAGGATTTACAAAGAATACCATTACATATGTATAAAGACTGTACCCGGATTGATTGTTTTGATTTTTTAAAAGGCAACACACACCTACCCACCCAATAAATCAAATTTTCTTTTAAGTCGATTTTATTTTTTCAATTTTTGTGTTTGTTCCAAGCTTGCTTGATCAATAGACTTAACCCTTGCAGACTGAGGGCTTTTCTGAAGGACATATTTGTGAGGCAGTGTGGTGGAATCAGGCTCTCGTCAATTTTTGAGCATGCAGAGTTACTGGTATCATCTTAAAGCTTGTTCACTGATGTTTATTTGAATGAAAAAAATATCCATTTATCTTCAATACAAGTCAAGATATTTGCGAATGAAGGAGGTGGGGGTCACCTGTTTTCAGAGGAAAAGTTAGTGAGAAAATGTCCGCCAAAGATTAGTTATTTCCTTAACTTAAGAGTCCGTGATAACTGAACATTTTCATTTTTTGTATCTTTAATCAACGTTTTTCAGAAAAATCCATACAGAAATGAGTTCTTTTATAGGCATGAAAGGTGTTGAGCCAAAAAACAAAAATTTGAAAAAAATTCACAAATCTTTGGAAAAAGGCAAGTTTCTTCACTTTGATTAATTTGACTAGAGCCTGATTCACCACGCTGCCTCATATATTCAAATTTTTCAACTACCAAAATATGACCTCGCAAAAGGAAAGTCGCAACGGTACGATGATGTAGTGATGTGATAATATATAGCCAATTATGTCATACACGTATTCTATTAGAATGGCAACAATTTTTTTAATGAACAGGCCTGGAGATATAGCTCATTCCAAAAGTATCTTTTCTTATTGATCTTTTAAAGAAAAGGAATGCTCCTTAACATAACATTAATTATCTTTTCTGGCTCTCTGCTTGATTATTTAAAAACACAAATTATTTTTTCCACGAGCGAGCTAACTCCTTTATTTCTGGACCTAGAAACCTTAAATTTGGCACACAACTTCGTCATAATACAGGTATTACGATGAAAAAATGTTTTTCCCGGACCCAAGATGGCAGCCATAAAATTTTATGTCGGCATATTGGATTTTCACATCATGTTTTCAAATCAACACTCCTCTGAAATTTACCGAGGGATTTTATTGTCCTTTGGCACACATGTACTCAAGAGGCATATAAGTGATATGTTATCAGCATCTTTTGATATCTTATTTCGTTTCGGAGTTACATGAAGAATCGTGCAAATCTTGTCAAAAATGCAGAAAACGGTCCATTTTCCAATTTTTTTAAAATCATAAAATGAAAACCAAGATAGATATAAAAAACCGCTGACAATGCAAGGTAACCACCTCTAAGTGCAACAAGTATGCCAGGTGCCATCAAGATACACCTGTAATCTTCAGAGGAGTTTCGAAAAATGTGTCAAAAATTAAAAAATCATTTTTTTTAAACAAAAAAATGAGATACCTCTCTACTTAGTGAAGATAGAATAACAATGTTATAAAAATTATGTTGGACATCCAACTAGCTACTACTGTGCAATAGGACAATCAAATCAACAAAGAAATGAGTGAGTAAAGGCAAAAAATATTGTAATACCCAATTTGACCCAGATTGACCAAAAGTACGTGGGACACCCCCCCTCCCCTTAATGCACACCACACACACACACACACACACACACACACACACAGAAACACACACACACACACACACACACACACACAGACACACACACATAATATTTTCTTCCAGACTTAACATAAAGCGTTAAACTGTGACATAATAGACTGATACAGTATTATGAATTTTATTTCACAGAATATCCCGTCTTGTATCCTTTTTGTTGTTGATACTCTTGACAGACTGCCAAGTGAGCGCTGCCGCGATTTCAGGACAATTCCTCGAAACCATAAAAAATTGTCTTTTTGCGAAGGAGTGTGGCTTGTTCCTATATCCAAACACATTACAATAGGCTTCATCGAGCACGACGGGTTAGTGTGTGTGTGAGAGAGGGTTGGGAGGTTGGAGAGGAAAAACGATTGTCGTCCGTCCACTGGCGCATTCTTACGTGCACACATCAGATATTCTGCACTTAGAGAGTGGGTGAAGGGACGATTGTACATTCGTGAAGGTAGGTTGTAGATCCTAAGCAAAGATCAGGTATACCATTAGTCCGAAGCAGCTAGAAATTTCAATAAATGTTAAGGACGGGACCTCCCTTTTTCTAGAACTGCATAATTTGGTCATTGTGATGAAGATTTTGAGCATTACTCGTAATTTAAAATGTAGGTGTTTATACACCACGATCAACACAATTTACATTATTTTGGTTTGGGGCTGTTCATTAACAACAACGTTGGGACCAACCTGATCCAAGCGGAAGACGACACCACAAAAAAGACCCGGATACTCCACAAAAATTATCGCCTCTCGGAAATCGGACTCGGGTCTCGTGCGTGCGACACTGAAGTGCCTAATCACTACACCATAGACGCTTGTAACGAGCATTACTTGTCTCAGATTTCTGTGTGTTGAATGAGCACAGGCTTACGGAATTGTTCATTTCTTTGTCTATTCAAACTGTGCAGTTGGTCATGGACATGTTTATTTCTGAATGGAGGTGACAAAAGGTACAGCACTTGCATAATATTTTTTCAATGCTGACATATTTGTTTGTACTGTCCTTGATAGATTGATCGCAAAAGTAACGTCCAGTGTTTTAAGTAAATCGTTTCTTTTGTATTATTTCTAACCTTAGTACTGGCAAATCTTCTTTTTACAGTTGCAAGCGCCGTAAAACATTTACTAAGCAAAACCTTTTTTTTAAAGATTGAGTAAATACAATATCCTGGTGACTTCCATCTTTGAGTAACCGAAAAACTAATTGAACAATTGGCAAGTATTATAGAGACAAATACCATGCGCATGATTTTTTAAATTGGAAATTCTATTGTCTAAAATACTCGCGTCCACATTATATGGAACATAACAGCAACTGAAGCAAGCCTGCACTTATCACTACATGGCATTGGACAGAAGGGCGAGAGAAACAAAAATGCCAATGCCAAGTCCCACTGACCGTATTCATACCTGCTAACAACTATTATTAAATCCCGCCAACAAGAGAATCTAAGACTGTGCATCGTGAGTTCATTCGTAACAAAAAACCTTACTCTAAACATTAAAAATCAAACTTGATTCTAAGAGCATGTGCTCAACACCCAGCTCTGATATTTAAGATAAGAGCAGAAAATAGTAAGCCGTGAATTGTATTTAACTGTGTCTGTATTTGTTTCATGATCATTGTTTTAAAAAGGTTGAATTTTCTACTGCTAAATGATTTTTTTTTATCTGGATCGGCTCGCAAATTTAATTGTAATTTGAGTTTGTCCGATTGAAGAATTGGATTTGACATCCCTGGTCCAAAGAAGACCCATTCGGAGCGTAGTTTGATTTTAAAACAAAAGATACTAGATTTTTTCCCTGCTTGCTTACTTACTCTCTTTTCAGTTGGTCTCCAATACCATGTTTGATAGAGCAATCTTGTCTCTGGCATTCTCAAAATAAGCCCTGAACATCTCCATTTCTTCTCTTTATCGTCGAGTTGACATCTTCAATTCCAATTTTTTTCCCAACACTTCATTCTCTGTAACAAATTCATTAGATCTCATTAATACAATTCTTCGTAAATATTTTGTTTGAAAGCTTTGTATAAATAAACTATCATTGAATATTGTTTTCCATATCTTGGAACCATGCATCAGTGTAGCTCAAACGTTGCTATTATATATCTTTTAATTTCGTCTTCAATGAAATGATCTTTGAATTCGAGGTGGTTTTTAATTCCACAAAAGCTTCCCATGCATTTTATAGTCTTTAATGGATGTCGGCAATGCAGTTTGCAGTTTTAAAGGTAAAGCTGCCAAGGTACTTGAATTTACTCATTTTTGCAAAATATTCTCCTTAATACGTTTTAGGAGTAGATTCTGGTGATAATCTCAGCATTTTTGTTTTGGAATCACTTATAACAAGGCCAACATTTACTGCAGCTCTTGCAAATTCATTTAAAAAATAGCATTTCATATTTTCTCCTGTGGGTTTTAAGGGGAGGGGAGGGGTCCTGATTCGGCTAAAAAATATGGAATTTGAATTGTAGGCATTTTAAGCTTATCAGCCTTTTCTTCAACTATTTCGTCGCACAAGAACTTCAAAAATCCTTGCTTCTTACCATACTGGCCATGTTTGCCCCCACCATTTCCTCATAAAGTCAATGTTATTTTTCTTTATCTTCCGTTTTCTGAAAACGCGATTTTTCTCTATACTTTTTGTAATAAGTCCACCATTTTTCGTCTAATCTTCATTAAATTTTCACAGAATGAAGAAAAGATGTAATACTAAAACTGTGTTTGTTGAATTTTTTATATTTTGAATAGATTTTGTTGGTGAGGTTTGGAGTGTGGATTTTTACTGAATTTTTTGCAAACTGGAACACTGCCTCAGGAAACAATTCATAAAAAATTGTCTAATGCGTTGAAGAAAAAATCAAGAGACAGGTTTTTAGATCTAATGTTTGCTAAGATGCATGCAAGAACCAATCAATTTCCATGCGCAATAAGTGCGATATTCATTACGTAAGACATGTAAAAAAAATCCAATATGGCCGCCGTATACATGGAAACGAAACGTTTTTTCTCAAATTTATGTGCAGATTTTAAGACTCCTTTCTATGCTTGTTATATGTGTGAAATGTGGTAAATTTTGGCCCTCTAATAAGCGAGATAGGCTGTAGGTGTAAACCCCCTCCCCCCTTAATAGTCAGACATCTTCCGCAAAACTTAAATCTTCCAAGTACGTGAGATTTATCTACCAAACTCAGTGCTACAAACACTAAAATAGCAACAATATGGGCATACTGTGTGCATGATATGTGTTGTAACGCGTTGGAATTAGGCGCTCGTCAATTTTTGGCCCCTGTGGAGTTATTGGTATCATTTTAAAACTTGTTCATTTGATTATCTTTCATTGAAAAAAAACCCACATCTCGTTCATATAAGAGTTGAGATATTTGCTACTGAAGGAGGTGGGGGTGACCTGGTTTCAGAGGTAAAACTAGCTGGAAAAATGGCCGCTAATGTTTGTTGATTTCCAAAGCTTGAGAGAGTCCTCGAAAGCTTAAACTTTACATTTGCTGCGACTTTAATCAACGTTTTCTTTAAAAAAATCTTCACAGAAATGTTTTTAAAAAGGAAGGACATAAACAGTGTTGAGCTAAAGAATAAAAACTTGAAAAAATGTGTTAAACTGGGCGAAAAATGCCAATATCTTCGTTTGCATTATTTTGACGAGCGCCTGGTTTCACCACTATGCCCCACATGTGGTGTTTTCGAACTCTGCTTCCAAAACAGATTGATAATCAAGTGGCCCCAATTAAATTCCCAACTATTTTATCGTTAAGCCTCTCATTATAGTTCATGATCACTGAAAGAATGATGTTCTGTTTTCGAATCGCAGGTATTGTGAGTGTTCTGATATATGCACACTCAAATGAACTGTTTAAACTTTTGTGTTAGAGTTATATTTTTCACGTTTATCCTGACCTTCAGACAACACAAAGAATGACTCAGGATATAACTTAGAGCGAAAATAGGACAAAACTGGAAAATATAGAATAAATGTGGGACAAAACATGGAATGAAAGAGGGGCAAAGTATTTAGCATACGAAGGAAAAAACTGGAATGACCGTAGGACAAATCTTTGAATAGATATAGGACTAATCATAGAATAGACGTAGGATAAATCCTTGAATAGACAGGGAAGGAAAAATATAGAATGGATGTAGGACGAAACATTGAAAGAACGTCGTACAAGACATAGAAGGAAAGGAGGATAAAACACGGGATAAACGTCGGACGACACCGTAATGATCGTTGTATAAATCATACAATGAGCTAAGAACAAAACATTGAATGGACGTTGGACGACACCGTAATGATCGTTGTATAAATCATACAATGAGCTAAGAACAAAACATTGAATGGACGTTGGACGACACCGTAATGATCGTTGTATAAATCATACAATGAGCTAAGAACAAAACATTGAATGGACGTTGGACGACAATGAAGTAGGAATTAAATGAAGGCGTTGATAATGAGCAAACAAAGAAACACAGCGACACAATAATGAGCATTTGGAGCAGCTAAAGTGGTGAGACAAATATAAGGAAAGCAGAGGTGAAGAATTTAGAAAAATCTACTAGTGGCGTCCGTCAACCACAAATTCAACACAACTTGAGATCAAAGAAATGTGGGTAAAGTTTAACAAAAGAACGCGACTTCGTTGTTAAATACTTGTAACAGTAACTTAACTCTCTTTCATCTCTTTTATAGTCTTTTGATTCTTCATTTTCAGACAAACAGTCGTCTTTTCTTTCAATTTGTCAGCAAGATGGCGTCTGAAGTGGTGATCAGGCGTGCACAGCAGTCAGATTACAACGACGTTGTGTATGGAATTGGAGATGTTTTCAATGGCAGGGACTACTTAAAAACAAAGTACCTGGAGTTGCTTGAAGACCCCGACGTTCTACCATTCGTGGCAGAGATGGGGGATGAAATAGTGAGTTCCTTGTCTTTGATTGGGAAATAAGCAGTTCATGTGCCCATTGCCTATTGCTTCGAAATAATGCTGTCTTTCTTTATATTATTATTATTGAGATAGAGAGAAAGAAAGGACAAACACAAAGTTAAACAGAATATTATAAAAACGAAAGTTAAACCGTTGACATGTTCCTCGTTAAATTGTATGCTTCATTATCAATTTTATACGTGACAGCTGATTAATTATGTGCTTTTACCAAAATGAATATGTCGTCACACAGAGGTAAGAAGAAAGTGAATGGAGAGGAAAGCTACTAAAAACCTGCTTTACACGCTAGGATATCAGTCTCTGATGTAACTGTACGGCTCTTAACCGTCACATCTTTCAACTGTCACTCACAGAAGACAAGACTTCAACTCCCAACTGTGGGTTCGGGGGTTAGAGCCTCAGCTCTGTCCGACGTTGTGACCTTGGGAAAGGTACTTTACACGAAATTCCCATTTCGGAGATGGACGTTACTCTCGGAGGTCCCGCCTCTCAAATAACCTAATAGTATTGATAGAGGCGTTAAAACCACACCATTTCACCATTTCAACACCCAACAGTTCGTTTGCTGGGATGTTGATTCCTCTGCAGCACGGTTAGCCCTGACAGAACCATTGTGAACAAAGACAATAGAAGGGATACATTTAATAAAGTACATCAACATTAATTACAACTTTAGGGTCTTATGATAATTTCTAGTGAGGGAAATAATTTTCAATAATTTTTGTCTATGCCTCGGGACTAGGTTGAAGCTGCCCGTCTCGTAAATAATCTAGATTGTATCGATGGGTTCACAAACCTTACAATTATACAGGATGATTAAAAAAGAATGAGCCGATTTTATGACGCAGTGTTTCAGCTCTCCTCAGACATCGGTTCAGGATGATTCAGTTACCATCGGAAACGGCAGCGCTCGATATCTTGCTCATCTCTGCCACAATAATAGATCAACATCTTTCCCTCAGTAGTTGGCCTGCAAGATCTTTCACCTCACCGTGAGGGTTTTTTTTTTTTTTTGAGAGGATATGTAAAAAGATCGTGCTTATGTTCCATCGCTACCCACTAACTCTGATGACCAAAAACATCGAATAACAACTGCACAGTGATCAGCTCCGCGAGCCCTGATATGCCGAGACTCGTCTGGGATGAATTCTATTTTCGAATAGATGTTGCCCGTGCTGCTGGTGGTGGTGGCCATATTGAACACTTGTAAGACAGGAGATCAACTGGATTAAGAGTATATTGCTTTTGACTTAGCGCGGGTTTTCTTTTGCTTTTGCTTATTCAGATATTGCGTATTGAAATCGGTTTATTCTTTTTGAATCGTCCAGTATATCATTTCAAATTGTTTAGCTTAGTACAACTGAACTGCAAACTGACAATAATATACAACCATTAATAAGTATAAGCTGTAGTAGAGCAATCATAGCAAGAACCGAACGATCACATAAGGTGCAAATATATTCAAAATGCGTTTTCATAATTAAATTTTGACAAAAAGTGGAAGCTCCTGTAAAGATTGTAAACAAAGCTCGAAATGAAGAGCATAGTATTATAATTGTGACTGGGTCAGCGTTCACTTTCGATTCAGAAGAAGAGCACTAATATATTACATTTGATGGGCTTGTTTTGGGTTTAACTGACGTCGAAATTACAAGAAAACGTACTTTAATATCTCGTCCAAAAGGCCAGGAACTGTACGTAAGTAAGTGTATGGTTTTCACGCCTTTATCAACACGACAATCAAAGTATTTAAAAGGTGGAACCTCTAAATTTAACCTCAGCCTCCAATAGAACAAAGACAAGGGATGAATGATGAGAGGGTTGTGGTGGGGTTGGGTTTTTTTTTTGGGGGGGGGGGGCGAATTCAGAAAGACCCAACCCCCCCTTCCCTCCTTACTGCTGGGCAATACTGATACCACAACAAAAATGGAAAAAAACAAGACCTCATATGTGAGGCATCGTGGTGAAATCAGGCTCTCGTCAAAATAATCAAAGTGAAAAAACATTTTTTCCGCAGGTTTGCGAATTTTTATCAAAATTTATTTTTTGGCTGGACACCTTTCATGCGCATTAAAGAACTCATTTCTGTTCGGATTTTTCTGAAAAACGTTGATTAAAGGCACACAAAAATGTAAATTTTCAGCTACCACGGACTCTTAAGCTAAGGAAATACCTAATTTTGGGGGGCCATTTTCTCACTAATTTTATCTCTGAAAACAGGTGACCCTCACCTCCTTCATTCGCAAATATCTCGACTTGTATTCAAGATAAATGGACATTTTTTCCCTCAAAATAAAAACAACTGAACAAGCTTTAAGAAAATACCAATAACTGTAAATGCCCCAAAATTGACGAGCGCCTGATTCCACCACGCTGCCTCACATATTTCCATATACTTTATGGACATAAAAGGTACAATAGCAAGAACAAAGTGCAGAAGAGCTTTCTAAATTATTTCTGGCTAACTTTTGTTAACGTATTTATATTTTTTCGGTTATTTTAAAAAGAGCACTTGCATATTTTTAAAAATGTTCACACTTTTCCCGGATTAATTAAGCCCATTAACAGAAATACTAAGCGTAAACACAAAGGCTTACTAAACCATAACCGACAAACCTTGACAATCGTAATCTCTTATAAATCATTATGTATTTTAGGTCGGATTTTACTGCGGACAACTCGTAGATAACAGAAGAACACTGGTGAAGAGAGCAGGGAGGGTCAAGGAAGGATACCGAGGTAAGGGTATATTCTTTATGCTGAACAACACTATCGAGTTCGAAGCGGCCAAAGAGGGAACTGTCATGGTGGGAGCGATGGCTTGCAAGAAAGACAATGCAGAAAGAGTCTCCAACGGTTTCGCCGAGAGGAAAGGATTCCGTCTGAACATTCACTTGGTAAGATCCAAAGAACGTCTAACTTGTAAGAATAGCTTGTATTGACAATATAGATAATAATTAACGTGTAGCAGATACAGCCTGCTGTAGTATATTCACACGAAAATCCGATGATCACATAAGGCTAAACGATACTTTAACGGGTGGTTTTTATTTTATTTTCCCCCTTAAATTTCGACTAAGTTGGATCAATTCCATAGATGATGAAAAGGAATGCCAGGGACAGAGACTGCCAATAATAATAATAATAATAATAATAATAATAATAATAATAATAATAATAATAATAATAATAATAAACAACTTTACTTACCAAAGACTAAACTTTGTTCTATACCAGAACGCTTTCCTCACACTCATAATCCAATTTTTTAAAAAATTATTTGGGTGCAATCAGAATACCAATAAATAAATAAATAAATAAATGAATAACTAAATAATTAAATATATATATATATATAAATAAATAAAATATAGATATACGTACCTAATATATTAATATACTATTCCACTTGGAATATAATTTATATTTCTTGATTTTTAAACCAATAAGGGTATCTATTTCAGCCAGAGTAAGAAATGCACCGTATTTATTTTAAATGCACTGAATTTCTCTTTGCCTGCACGTAGGGCCTACGTCAAACAGCGACAATGTGTTTATGAGTCTGAATTCATGTTTACTGATTCAATAAGACTGTTTTTTCTACCATTGTTTTGTTTTGCATTCCACCAGAAAGTGTACAGCATAAAGTTCGAAAGAAGCAAAGTCCCAACGGTGGATCCTTCCACTTACCAAAACGTCCACGAAATGACATTAACTGAGGTGGAAGAACTTTTCAATGACGAGGTTACATGGAACAGACTCCTTCACCACGAACGAATATGCGTTCATTACGTACCTTTGCGCCGAGTCAAGGAGAACATACGGCATGTCATCAACCACAGAACGAAAGCCTTCATGTCTTTTGGACCTTCAGATGTCAATGACGCTGGTGCTCCTTTGGACAGAAAGGTCCAAAATGCCACCATGCTCTCTACAATACATTTCTTCAAAACGAATTTGGGTTTGGGTTTTAATTCTGACTTCTATGGCGCAGACCTCCAAGATTTAGAATCCCATCTGCAAATGCATTTTCGTCACATTTCGGAGGCTGAGGATGCGACTATAAGCTGGGTCGTCAACATTGACGTTAATCTGGACTCAAAAGTTAGGGAAAGACTGAAACAATCTTTGTCTGCCTATGGAATACAGCTTACACAGAACCCTAATGTTCAAGAAGAATACATTTTTGAAAGACGCTTTTCACCCCCCAGAGCCTCAGACGAAAGGGGAACATTGAACACTCATCTTCCCTGATGTCCCTCCGCAGCTGTTTCAGAAAATCAACTTGTCTGGTCCTTGTACTTGTTGACAATTTAATGAGTTTGAGCCACACGTGCTTTGACACACTGAAAATTTTAGTTGTTTTTTCTACTGATGGTAAGAGCACAATATGACCCCTGCACACACACACACACACACACACACACACACACACACACACACACACACACACACACACACACAAACACAAACACACCCTTTCATGAAGTCACCAGGGAGGCGTACACTTTTTATTTCTCTCTAGCAGTTGATTGGTGGCTTCTTTGTAGTAGTATGATGCATGTTTTTCTTTCTGTTTGACAAGTATTCCCATTCTTCGATATGGAGAAATCCCCTTACTTGACACAGCACCCCCCATGTGAATGATCTTGTTATTAAAACTTGTATGATGTTTTATAGTTAGTATGAGAGGGATACAGCAAAATTATTGTAATAATATTATATTTCTACGGTTGTTGTTTTTTCGGATACCGCTACTATTATCTGTGTGATATTGTTCATTATTCATTCTTATTGTTGAATTTACTACTTGGTTTACTGTATCCTTCCTCTTGTAACGTGATATCTCAATGGGAGGTGGAACTTTTGTTCAAAGCAGGGTGGGTGGCTTCAGTCTGTTGTTGATATGTTATTCTATTTTAGGAGCATCTTTAAAATGACATCCGTCCAAGTATTTTCTGCCTGTGCCCCCCGTATAACGAGTCTTTTCGGTTGTAAGCACGTGCAGGTTGGTTTGGTGATAATCTTATTAGATGACAGCCTCTGGATTCTCTGCTGTCTCGCTCTTTATGCAGTCTTTCTTTGTAATGCTAATTTTTTAGGTGTTTCGTCTTACTGGGAATCCTTTACCTTTTCGTACGCTGTTTACCCGCATTTCTGGCATTGTTAAGCCAGTATTGGAAGGGATAACATGCTGCTAATAAGTTGTCTTTTTATTTTACTACCATTAGAAGGTGTTTAAGGGTGAATTGTGACAATTACGGTTACTTAACTTGCTTTTTGGGCTCTCATTTCAATTTCCAAACGCAGGTGTGCCCTGCCAATGATGGTATAATTTAGTGGGCCTTGGCTTCTGCTGGTTTTCATTACCTCTATTTTAGAAATGCTCATTTTCATCAGGTGTTCTTTTCCGTTCTCGTTCAGGCTCTTTGTACTCATATGTTCTTACAGGCTCTTTGTACTCATATGTTCTTACAGGCTCTTTGTACTCATATGTTCTTACAGGCTCTTTGTACTCATATGTTCTTACAGGCTCTTTGTACTCATATGTTCTTACAGGCTCTTTGGGTTTGTATTTAAGATGTCCTGGTCATCAGCAAACAAAAGTTCATTAAAATTTACTGTTCGGTTGACATTATATTGTTATATATTTGCCTCTATGATGGCTTTGTTCGTAATGTGAGGCAACGTTGTGAAATCAGACGCTCGTCAAAATAATGGAAGTAAAGAAACTGACACTTTTTCGCTGGTTTGGCAATTTAAAAAAATTTTTTTGGCTCAACACCTTATATGTCCATTTAAGAACCTATTTCAGTGTGAATTTTATTTTAAAACGGTTTAAGGCACAAAAATGTAAATTGTCAGTATCCTCGGATTCTGAGTCCTTGTAAATAACCACTCTTTGGAGGCTATTTTCTTAATAATGTTACCTACCAAACCAGGCGAACCCCATCCCATTTAGTCGCAAATATCTCGACATGCACTCAAGATAAATGGGCAATTCTTTCATCAAAAGTAAACAAGCTTTAAGGCGATACCACTAACTCCATATGCCCAAAAATTGACGAGCGCCTGATTCCATCGCGTTGTGACACATAGTTTTAGAGTTCGCCAGAGAAGTTTATTGGTTTGTAAGTTTATTCCAACGTTGAATCTATTTTTTGCTATATATAGATGTGGACTCGCTTGCTTGCTTGTTTGCTCTAAAATTATTTCCATGTTTTTTTTTTTATTACTGGTTTACAGAGGAAGTTTTTGCAAATACGGTGCCAGCTTGAGCAATTCGCTTATTCATAGATACTACTACTATTACTATGGGGAGGATAGCTATGGCTTTGTGTTTTTGTATTTATCTCTTTTGAGTGAATATTTGTTTGTTTTTTTGTCTGAACAGACGTAGATTGACACACTGACCAATAAAGGGGTTAAAATGCCAGACAACTTCGGTGATCTACTTGACGTCTTGAGGTCTGTGGATATGTCGCTGCCCCAGCTTTAAAAAGTTATCTGTTCAGTGCCTAGTTTTGAGAAATTTCACGTTACAAAAATAGTTTTACAATATTATGTCAAGCTTTTCCATATTCAATTTTTTGAATATCTTGATAAAGACTTCGAATAATCTTACAATTTTGGTAGAGCAGATAGAACATTTAATTTTGGATTTTGACTCTGTCTTAGTAACCTAAAACGGCCAAATTTTTCAGATAGAACTTTGTAATTCTGAGCTATTGGCATGTCTAAACACAACACTTGAAGTCGAACCATACCCAAACAAGGAATTACAATTACACTGTTTTAACCAGCATTATATAGCCTATGCTCAAGTGCATATTCCTTGTTTTTAATTTTTGTCTGTTGATGTAGACGTTTTTACACCACAATCAACTCAAATTTGATAATTATAGGAGTCTAACTTCAACCTTGACTGGCATGGTCAATTCGGACTCAGAATGATAAAACGTTCCAGAAAAAAGTATAGATTTTGATAAAGTTGAACTGAAGTGTTCTGGTCTAAATCATGTACCAATATAATATGTTTGTTCAGGCGATTCGATTGGCTTAATAAAAGTTATTGATTTTTTAATTTTTTTTTACATTCCCTTGTGTTGCTTTATTCTTTTCATGGGGGATGGGGATTGGGGAAGGCCTGGGGAGGGATGAGGGTCGATTTGTTCGGGTAAAGGTAAGATCGCCACCTTACCCCGCTCCCCTTTCCCCACAGACACAAAAGGACAAAACAAGATGTGGGACCCTACAAATCGAGGATACAAAAACAGATCAGAGGAACCAATAGGTTGTAAAAATGAAGTCAGAGATTTCAGTCTGTTGTATGTCTTACATGACATTTTCAAACTGAAAGGGTCCGTCATCCTTTTTTCCTTTAAGGAACAAATAGTCCTTGTGTATTCTCCTCTTGTGTGTCTCAAAAAGGAAATGCTCTCGAGACCACAAGCTGCGCTTGGTTCTTTTACTGCGCTTTCTCAGTAGAACTAAGATCACCAGTGTGTCTTCATCTGACGAGTTCATTTTGTCAACTGAATTATCACAAAGGCCTACTTCTGAATTAGTGTTGTTTCTTGTTTCGTATTTCACCACACGCCGGTCCAATGTGATTGCCTGATGCTTCTAGTTTCACGTTCCTTGTTTCATGTTTCACATTACACATTTCACCATATGTCCAATGTGAGGCCGGCCTTAAGTTCCCACAGACTGAGTATTCCTGGGGTTTTCAGGTCGCATGGCTCAAAGCCGAGCCAAAGCAACTTGCGGTCGTATAATAAGGCTG